TAATGTGAATTAGTTTATCTAGGAATCTGAGCAATGTGTTTAATGGTATGTAATATGAATTTATACTTAATAATTCATCGAAATAACCTAGTGTAAAGTATATTATTTCTGCAACGTTTTGGGTTTTTTATAAACTTAGCTTGTTGGCCTTGCCTGATTAGAATAAATGCGCTTAAAGGTCAGACCAATAAAATTGGGCGAGACAGATTTTTTACAATATATATTTGACAAATTTTGCATTTTAACGCTAATGTATTAGCGTATTTATATTTATTTAATGTTAAATAATATAAAAATAAAAACTTATTACGGACTTTTAACGGAATTATATTAAGGAATCCTAAAAAGACATTTCTAATGAAACATCAACTTTTAGAGTTAACTTTTTATTAAGTGGAAAGGTTAATTGCATTTTTTGTCATTTCTCTGGCTGTAGTTGCGAGACATATTTTTTAATAATTGTTTCCGCGAAATGCTCACAACTTTGTATTTTTTTTACAGATCGTTTCTGAGGACAGTTGAGCTGAGACTGAAGAATTCGGTGACTATAGAGACAGAACTATTGGTAGGTAGTAGATAGGTTAATCATGAAGTGGAACAATCATAACCGATAGTGCATGTCTGTCACACCACAGTATCGATATTACCGTCTGAAATTAAGTGCATCCTAGTGATTTATTACCGACCGCCCGGGACCTCGCCCGCGTGGTCTAGTTTTAAGTCCAGAAATGAGAAAATTCCATAAGACTTTCATCTAATAATTTACCTCCTTATGGTTCGAATTTCGTATAATCCCGTCTCAGTGAGCACCTACATCCTAAACAGAACCCGCATGCAAAATTTGAAACTCCTAGCACTTGTAGTAATGTAGTTCCATACAAACCTTAATCCCTTAATATACCCCCTTGGGGATTGAATTTCGTAAAATCCTGTCTTAGTGAGAACCTACATTCTGAAAAGAATCAGCATGCAAAATTTCTAACTCCAAACCCTTGTATTAAAGAAGTTTCATACAAACTTTCGTCCCCCAATTTAGTCCTTTAGGCATGGAATTTAAAAAAATCTTCTGTTAGCACTCCTTTACACTCCCTAAGGAATCATCATTCCAAATTTCAACTTTTTACGTTCAGTAGTTTCGGCTGTACGTTGTCTGTTAGTCAGTCAGTCAGTCAATAACGCAAGAGTTTAAAATATGTAGATATAGGTAGTAAATAAATATATTTATTTATAAAGCTGTATTCGATATAAGATAGAAACTATTCGAATAATAAAGGTCATTTAAATAAACATTGGATGACATCACAAACACTACTCCGTTTCCGAGATAAGTGGTTATAATAACGTGTGATGGTTACATGTATGCTGTTTATTTGTTCCGAATGTAGTATTCGTTTTTCCTTAGCAATAAATTATATTTTATTTTATGTAGGTGATATTGAAATCTGGGCATAAAGACTAAAGAGAAAGCGAAACGAAATGAGACAGGGATAGAGAATGGTGTATTGAGATTCAGAAGCTATTTGTAATTTATTATTCGCAAATCGTTACGATTATTATACAGGTTCTCCCTAAACCTCTTGGTTAAATGGTGAATATAAAAGTACCGTACATACTGATTCATAAAATTCCACTTAAAAGATTCATTATTACTATTTCATTATTAACTGTAGGGGTAAAGTGGTAATTTTTTTTTCTATCGAGAAACTTATAAATTCTCCTTTTTAATGTAAGAAACAGCTTAGGAACATTATAAAAGTGTTTTTAAATTTAATGACAGCGGGAAGCGACTTTGTTTCCTGTTATATATAGAAAGTGCTCTTTTTTAAATTAAAACCTAAATACAATATGAAAAATATGCATATGTAATTTAAAAGGGAAACTACATCATAAAATAAGTTCTTTAATGTTCACAATAGAAACAAATGCATTTTTTAAATTCATTAATATTAATTTGATTTAAGTATTAATTACCTTGTAAGGTCATTGACAAATCATACTCGTACTAAGTTATAATACTATAATTGTGACGCTTGTAGTTTGCAAGTAAAAAATCAAAAATTGTTTTATGATCTCTATTTAGCTCAAAAGGCATCATCTTCGAGTATTTTAATTAGTCTTATTGATTTGGTTTTGGTAAATTAAAAGTTGATTTTAATACGAATATATACAATACTGAAAAGCATGGCTTGCTTTTCGTCATAGCTTCCGGGCCGTTATAATAAAGGTATGTTGTTGTTGGTGCGCCGATTACCAACAAAATACTTAAAAGCAGTAATGAATAGTAAAGTGATGTAGTGTATTTAATCGATCTCACATAAAATCGCTCAGAAATCCGTGAATAATTATGTTTAATGTGACGACGTAATTTGGTCAAGGTCACACGCTGGCTACGGCCAGCCGACTGATTTATAATACGCCATAACGTTCTTCCTATAATCAACAACATTCACAAAAATAATAATGAGGAATCAGTTTATAGTATTATTTGTAAATATTTTCATAATATATTATATATAAGTAATATACCTATACTTATACTAAATTAGTAATTATGTAAAAATTTGTAAGAATGTATTGTTTGCAGATTTATGTGGATGTTTTTCGTCTTTAAGCTCTAATGAACGTTCCAAATTTGAAAATTAGTATAATGTTGCTTTAAACTAATGACACACTCCAGCGGTACGATAGCCTCTAGCCACAATTATAGCCATAGAAAACGATATTATGTCGCGATGTTAATATCGAAACTAACGAAACATAAGGAATGACGACTTTGGATTGACAGTAGCGTTTCTAACTTACTTGTATATCTACCAAATGACATGTCAAAGTAGTAACATGAAATGAAGGGTATGTTCCGATATACACTGCGACCACTGAACAGTATGACGTCAATTTAGAATACTGGAAGCCCGTTCCTTTATAGCTAGTTATACTGGTGACTTTTTAAAACGGAACGCAGTCCAGTATACAGTTAATCCTATTTTTTGGCGCCATTTTCAAATTTGTTAATGCAAGGTGAATATAAATATAAAGATTCCCTCTTTTCAAAAGAAAATTGGAAAATTGTATAAAAAAAATATTTATCAATTAAATCCATCTTATAAATAAACGTAAGTATTTTTTTGTTTATTTAGAAACTTATCATTTTCTGATTCTGTTTCGACTGATCACGTGATCAAAAGCACTGCGAGCACCTTACCTCGAAATCTCCAGTGCTCACAGTACAAATATGGCGGCAATTTATGACGTCATAAATTTCCCTAGGGTACTGTAGCAGTGTACTGGTAGTCCATAACGGAACGGAATTTTCAGCAGTCAGACCACTGCGCAGTGCTCGCAGTGTATATCGGAACATACCTGAAATATCGTTCTAACATCGCTAAGTTGTCGTATTTTATGGTTGCAATCAAGGCAAGGAGAGTGAGGCGGGCGCACTGCAGATTACCACATGACCCGTTCTTTCACACAGGTTTTAATTTACACGGAAGAATTTACGAGAAAACAGATTGGAGATTATAAATAAAAATATGTATAAAACTAGTAGAAAACGTAAATCACCAGTATCTGCGGAGCGATTTCGTAAAAATCCAAACCCACATTCAAATTTATTCATGTTCAATTTCAATTCAATTCACTTCGAAAGTGAGATCCGCTTAACCTTGAACTGGTATTAACGATTCGTGGCATAAGTGAAGTGAGTTTCGAAATGAGATAGGGACGGAATATCTGAGACATCTATAAATCAATCAATCTTGTTTTGTAAAAGAAAACTACTGATTCGATTTCGATAAAATCACCTCGGTCCATTTGTATAAAAATAAATAAATCTGTCGAATAAAAAATGAAAATCGGTCAACAATTGTCGAAATTAACGGTGAACATACATAAAAAAACACACATCGCCGTCGAACACACAACCTCTTTCTTTTAGATTTTCAAATCGATTCATACAAAGGTAGTTAATACTTCTGCATTTGATTTAGTACTCTACTCCTGCGCATTAGGATTTAAGTGTCGATTGGAGTCAAATTTACAGTTTATTTTATACTAATATAATGTTGACTAAGAATTGCATTATATAACATTTTAACACCAAAGCTTATCTGGATAAAAATACAGTACCGCATATATTACTAGCGTCACACAAAAATACCAAACATAGAGTCGTTTTAACCGATTGGAACAAATATCAATTTGGGTCGATTTTCCCAGTCTCCAAAGAAATGTTAGAGGTAGTTTGTTTCATTGGTAAAAGCTTGTACAGATAATGTGTATGAAGCAATTAAAAGAAAAATGTTAGCCTAATGGTGTCGTAAAAACTGTTTTATTAACGTACAACTCGAACAAATTTTATGTTCATGCTAAACTAAAACTACGAATTCAAATAGGCAAAACTTTGATTGTTATACCTGTGCTGGCAATAACTAATATTTCTTGAAATAATTCTTTTCTATGCTAATAAAAACAAGAGACTCGTTAAAAACTTTTAGCGAAAGGTAATTTCAAAAGGCGTACCGATCGTTATAAATAACGTGGACTAGTTAGCACACGAAATGATCTACATACCCTTGAATGTTCATCAAGACCAACGCGTACGATAATCTAAATACAATACATGTAATAAAAAGTAGCTCATTGTTTTATAATTGGTTACTCAATTAAGAATGCGTCGCTGCGTGCTTGCACTATTGAGACGTGATAGCATCCTATAAACATCGAAAAATACCAATTTATGAACTGTTATATATGTATTATAGATCTATAATTATATATGATAAAATAATTATGATATCTCACATATTTAATTGGTGTTATGTTTCAGGTCTCTGATAGAACGCCCGAAGTGAAGACAGACTTAGCGAACGATAAACTAGATAGATATAAATTTAAAATGGATGACGTATTGGTGATTGAGATAATACTAGTGAGCGGCAGTAGGGGGCTGTGAGTCGTTTGATGTGGGAATAAGTGAGCGTCATGCTGTCGTACATGGTGCCAGTTGAGGAGAAGCCGCCGCCGGTGCCGGGGAAGGGACGGCTTGCTCTCGAGCTGGTGGGCAGCCCCGGCAGCCCGGAAACGGGCGTGAGGAGGGCGCGAACTAACATCTCCAAGGAGTCATCTACTAGCTCGTTCGCTAGTGATCTTACAATCTCTTCCTCTACGCCAACAGGAGCCATTGACAAGCCCAAACATAAATTACTCAGCAATGGAACGAAAAACACCACTTTAAAAAGGTAAGTGTCAATAAGAAGTTTGATAAGCAAATTTTTGTTAAAATGGCCTTGTGTATTTCGTATAATATTTAAACAACTGTTTTATTTTGCGATCTGAATTGTAAAAGCATATTTTTTATTGAAAACATTACCTATTATTATCGGTTATGCAATCGCGATCTGTACTGATAAGTATTTTAAAGAAAAAAATTCACCAACACAGTATTCTTCTTTAAAATATACCAATTCATTTTCTTTAAACATTAATACGTAGATGCATACAGACAGATATTTGATCAATTCTTATCTTATTTTATATCAGCTTATATGACCTTCAATAAATAGGTATATAGATACTAGAGGTTTAGAGTTTTTTACAGTGATTATTAAATTCTCTCAGTATCTTGCATCGTTGACCTTAAAAAGTATAATCTGTATTTGATTATATAAGAGAAATGCGTCAATGCATGATAGTAATAATTTGATAAACTATGAAATATGAATTGTAAATATCGCATCGAATAAATTAATATTTTTTCTTCGATGTTCAACAAATTTAATGATTACGATATTAAATAAAAAAATATTAAAAAAGGTTCGATTTCGAGTATGAACAATTTGTTAATTACACATCTGCATCTTTAAAATACATCATTTGATTATAGTGATGGTCATTAATAAACTAAGGTTGGCTTAGTTTAAACAAATTTTCTTATAGTATTTACACAGGCCTCCAAATTTTCGTAATCAATTTCAAACACTATTTTCGATGTAATAAGACTTGTATTCTTCAAAAGATACCTATTTGACATTTGTATTAACCTGATATGTCATTGATCGTTCATACGTGGGATACTTATGACGTACGTATTTACTGTGCTTGTGTTTCTGTTGTGTGTGATAGATAAGATGCGGTAGATAGGGAACCTTAATCGAACCATAACTTATAGATTATAGTCTATAAAAAATCCAGTAATCATAAAAAAAAACTATTTATTTAAAAATACACATGCTAATTAAAACATATATTGAATAAAAAAAAATCGATTAAATTTTCTAAAAAGCCTTTTAATATTACAGTTAGTATTACCAATAATATATGAAAATTGTAATCTGATTATATTTATGACTATTACTTTTGTTGAATTGTACAAATTGTTAATAATTATGAGTTTAAAGAAGTCAGTAAAGCTTTTTCGAATTCTAGGAAATTAAATGAAGACAAATTTTTTTAATTGTCCAATAGTTTTAATGGATAAATAATTGACAATATAAAAAAGTAGTTAGCTAAACATTACAGTTTTAGCGACTTATTCTGTGTTTTGTTACTATCATTAATTTAAAAATAAACAGCCAATTAAATTCGTTTCTTAATTATAATCATATAAACGTTCGCCTTTGATGATAGATAAGGTTGAACGTCAAAGTGCATGGCATGTAAGTTGAACCAAAATGATGATTTTCCGTGCTGGGCCCATATTCGCTGTGATCACTTATCGATTCCTTGCTTTCAAACCACGTTAATTTTGTATTAAGATAGGACATTTGCATTATCTATGCTATGCATGCACATTGAATGAAACTTCGTGGGAAGCGCACGAATTCTGCGCACTATGAACTGTCAAAAATTCTATACTAGGAACTCGTGCGGAATGCCTGTGACTACCGATTGCCCAAGTTCAAAACACGATGGCGTTCTCATCGATTCGTCCGTACCAGCGTTGAAAGCATAATAGCCCATTTGAAGATACAGCTTGGATCACACGATATATCATTATATACCATATTCATTAATATGGTTAGAGAAGATGGAATATTGACGTGGTTTCGCGTGGTAAGATTCAAGCGTGAAATCTCGATTATCATAAAAAATAAGGGCCCGGGTTTACACTCAGGCCATAGCAATGCAGTATAGCCTAGGACTACTCATAGGCTATACTGCGTTGCTATAGTCGCACCTTGTTTTAAACTCAAAAATGTGCTACTGCGCATAGTTCAACTTATGTGCCGTGATTTGTATATTATAAGAAAGTAATTTGATTTTGTTTATTAAATATATAATAATATATTTAATATATTAAATATACATTGCATCTACTCTTTCTGTGATCCCATATAGTTTTTGTTGTCCCACGTATCAGGTAATCTCACTGGCACTTTTGAAAGCCATGATGTATAAATCTCCAGCTGACAGTCTGGTCTGAAATCAAAGGGTAATGAGGAAGTATTAAAAAAATAAACAAAAGCACTAAAAAGCAACTCCACTAGATGGCGACTCTAGCAAAAGTTGATTTTTGCGTGGGGATAACTCTTAGATAACGAAAGATTATGGATTCAAATCTATATGTCAGTTTTAAAAGACTTGAGTAATTGAAGTTATTAAGAAATTCTCGTTAACTAAAAATGAAAAGGGACTTGTGATCTATTGACGACGTGCTCTTATTTTACACCATCTCATCTTGGTTAAAGGGTGTAACATAAAAAGTCCTTATTTGGGTATGTAGGACATGTTTTGAGGACATCGCTGTCGTCAAGTCAGTGATAAAGTCTACACACGCGTAAAAACTAGTCTCTTAGTAAACGGAGACCTCTCTTGTTCACTGAAGCCTTTTAAAACCTTTTGGAGAGTTTTTTTCTTGTATGAAAACACCAGCTACTTTTTAAGGTTACGTATCCATAGGGTAAAAAACGGGTTCCTATTAACAAGACTCTGCTCTCCATCCGTCTGTCCATCTGTCTTTATTTCATGAAGTGTATTAGTCAGTTGGAATTTTCACAGATAAAAACAAATAATTAAAACAGAATAAAATAAACATTTAAGGGGGCTCCCATACGTTATTTTTTTGGCTCGTTACTGCTAAACTCTTCGTACGCGAATCCGGCTTGCACTTAGCCGGCTTTTTGGGTAGATATTTTTTAACAAACAACCGCGAATAGGTAAATAGATATTAAATAACCTAAAACCAAATCGGTCACCAAAATAGTGACATCAGACTGTACTAAAATTTTGTGATTAAAAAGTAATTTTCGTCCACAAATCCATTCCACCAACCAAAGGTACTCGTAGTAATTCCGTTGCACAAACTAGAATAATTTTATTAATGATTATTCTTGAAATAAGGTTAATACAAACCCAAAGTTAGAAATTTTTAGATTAGTTTAGAGTTAAATATTAAATACTAATTGTCCCGCGAATTTGCATTCCCGTGTATGAGACCTACTAGTGGCCGCCAGCGACTTCGTCCGCGTTTTCCATTATTTCTTCACTCCTAATAGTTGCAGCGTGATGTTATATAGCCTAAAGCCTTCCTCGATAAATGGTCTATTCAACACAAAAAGAATATTTCAATTCGAACCAGTAGTTCCTGAGATGAGCGCGTTCAAACAAACAAACAAACTCTTCAGCTTAATAAAATTAGTATAGATTTTAAAAATTCTTTCGTAGTTGAAAACATTTTTAAAATAGGTCCAGGCTTATAGTTTAACCACGGTTAACAATATTAGTACTTATAGTTAAATATTAATGACATTGAAACTTTGGTAATAGAATTTATTGTTCCCCTTTTTTATTCTGTCTTGCGTGTCCACAATAAGGTAACTAGCAAGTGATAACCATGAACCAATTATCCAATTGTTCGTAGAGGGAGAACACAAATAGAAAACTCTATTATAGCTAGAATTACATTGCGATGCGTGATAGAAACGAGAGTGTTGTCCGCAAGTGAATTTACTGTAGATGAATTGACATCAATCTATATGTATATTAATATTAAAGAGGCAAGGTACTATAAACTCCGGTGGTCTAGGATAAGGTTTGTGTGGATTCAGCTCGTGTAACTTTTCAACTACAAATATTTACTGATTATAAAGGTATTGTTAAAGCAATTTTGGATTCTCAATTTTATACTGGTAAATAAGTCTTACAGTGAAAAATTTTAAATATTTACTACCCCGGTACCCTGAGATGCTACTCTAACCTACACTTTTTGCCATTGGGGCGACTGCTATAAGCAAACTGAGCTACTCGAGACCCACCGGGAGTGACGAATTTTTCAAATACTTGTCACTTTTCGCTACTAGTGAGCGTATTTTCATCAACTCACTCATCATCAGCCGAAAGAAATATTTAAAAAAAACGATTATGACAAAAAATATGCTAATTACAATTTTTTATCAATTTTGCATTGACAATGCCATAATGATAAATACCTACTCTTAATTTCTCTTACATTAAATCTTTCATAAGAATTTAGCTATTTACTGAATTATGCCGGTTCAATAATTCAAAGTAAATCTAGTGGACGATCAGCGATATAGCAGACAATTGGCATACTCGAAGTGACAGACCGTTTTGAGTCTTGCATACGAGTCAATGCCCTAGTTTTAAGAGTACTCGTAAAGTTAACGGCGAGCGGTTAATGCAGTTGCATGGTTTAAATAAAATAAAAACGGAACTTACTTAGATCCCAGCCATCCGATAAACCCAGTCGAGGTTACCGGCACTGGCTTTAGAGATTTCGTCAGATCGAGCTTCGGAATCTCTCTTCCAAAGGCGTCTGCAGCTGCAGCACGTACCTTATCAGACTCTTCCACGACCAGCCTGTAAAGATGTTACAACACCGTTTTAACATATTTAAATGAGCAGTTGGAGTGTTACGAACATTGAAAAAAGCTTTTACAAAAGCTTTACATATAACTAAAATAAATATACCATTTCTTATGTGTACCTACTTAACTTAGATATAAAATTTAATAAGTACTACTGAGAGAGTGGAAAATGTATAATAATCATTCGTTTTATATGAAATGAGTCAAAGAAAATAACACTAAATCTTCAATAGCAATTTTGTTGCACAGACTAGACTAAATTTGGGTTTAGTCCTGCCAAAGTGCGTTTTTAATAATTGTGGAAGTTACTAATATAGCAAAATTAAACTTAATAAGTTAATTTAAGCATAAAGGAGTTTAACTTTATTTTTTTGATTACTTATGATTGTAGAATAATTCTATAAACCCAAATTAAAGTGCGAAATTTTTTGTTTTGCTTTTGCTCAGTACAGCAGAATTGGCACCATTGTTTCTTTAAAGGCAGACTTAAAAGCATAGGATACTAGAGATGTTTATGACTATTCGAGCGGTCAAAGACGTCGATCGTGAACGAGGAGCTATCGTGTTTGACATTGGCTCCGCATGACAAATTTTATTACCGTGACGAATGCAAGCGACTTCAATGCACCTATGTTTACGTGCTACTGTTATTATTAGCTGAATATTCCGATATAACAACTTAGCTTTTCTATTTGCTCGATTTATTGCTCTTTGCGCAAGCTTGCTTAGTTTTGGCGGCTTAGCTTTTGAAAATATTGACGGGCATAGTTCAGTCAAGACTTGTGTTGCTCAGTTATTTCTCTACCTTGCAATTGGATCTGGCGTGAAGATATTGATAACTAGTTTTCTGCCAGCGGCTTCGCCCGGATAGTTTACTTATTAGACGTTTCCTTGGTGCTTATTTCATCGATTTGGAACCATTTCGAAGGATAAAAAGTAGCCTATATTTTAATCTAGACTAAAAACTATAAAAAAAAATTCATCAGAATCCGTTCAGTAGTTTTTGCGTCAAAGAGTAACAAAGGTACAACCATCCTCACTAACTTACGCAATTATAAGTATGGTAGGATTTGATAGATGATTGTTTATTTATCGAGGTAGCTATTTGAATAGCGAGCTTCAGTAGTGACTTGTACGACGTCAAAAGCCAGGGTTTTATCTTGTGCGAGTAAAAGCAAAGATAAGTTTATCACAGTTTGATTGCTTTATGATTATCGGTGATAATTGTTTAAACGCAAATTCGTTTTTAGTAGCCGGCACTAAAGCAACTGTAGATCTTACTAAATCTACTCTGATAGAATGAAGTACGCCGTGTCTGGACTGATAATCAATATTGGGCTTAGAGAGAGACAATGTATAATTTGGAATGTAAAAAAAAAAACCATTTAAATTCTTGTTCTTGGTTGGTGCATCACTGAACGGATTTCTCTTTTTCAATATTCTCAATTATTCGTCTAAAGCTTTATCTGAGCTATTTTCAGTAAAAAAATTACTGATAACACTTAAAGTATCAAATGTCAAACAAGCGACCTAGTCTTTTATTTTTTTCTCATTAATAAAGTAATATTGACTTATACCGAGGTAAGATGACCTTCGACCAACCAACAAACCTTAGGTGAGATTATTTTTAGTTTAATGGATTAGTATTAAGGTGGATAGCGAGTAAATTGGTTTGCTCTCAATATTTTACCTTCTTTCGTCAAGTAGCCAACTCCACCGATCAAACCATTGTTTCTTGCATATTTCTACTTTCTTCCACTGTGCTCGCATCTGAAATGCCTCCGTATTGGGGTCATATTTTGGATTATGCTCCTGCGCCATCACTGATTCTAAATAATAAGTATATATAGTCTTTAAATTAAGTATTAAATAGAGAATATAAATTTAGTGATTTAAAATATTCGCTTATATTTTAAATCACTAAATTTTAATTGATTTTATAAAATGAATAAGATTGATTAGGTCAAAATATGTCTTTCTGAAAAGAAATAAATTACGTCTTAAATTTACCAATTTGTTCATTACCCTAATTATACTCTTTTATTAAAAAAAATATCCTTTGACACTCTACTCTATCTATTTCAATCCACCTGGCAATGAGATAAATAGGAGGACAGTCTTTTGTCTGTAGCCAGAGACTTCATTGGCATTTTTATCATCGCCATCTTTCATTCATTTCTTTTTCGTTTTACATGTAAAAATATATTTTATTCACTTGACATTGGCAGAATTGTGCGAAATGCGCAGATAAGCCATTAATAAAAGAAGAAGAAGAAAATTTATTAAAAGTTTTATTTACAATGTTAAAAAACTTATATTGAGCATTAAAATAATTATGCATTGAAATTGTGTAGTTCAGTAAAATGTTACATGTCGTTCTATTCAATGCGTATTTCTTTTTAATTCATTTTCCAGAAGTTCCTTTCTTAACAAACTGTTCCGGACTTCATCACAAGTAATATGTTATGACAGGAACAAAGTGGCGAGTTGAATCGAATGCTTACCTGAAAAGCCTTTTCATAACTACGCTGTCATATGAACAATACCTAGTTTGTTTACGTCTAAGTATCAATGTTGTATTATTAAACTAGCTTTCCGCCAGCGGTTTCGTCCGCGTGGTCTGCATCTGTTCCGCATGCTAATTCGAAAGGAAGGTTTTTATGTATAATACATATACATAAAAACCTTCCTTTCGAATCACCCTGTCTATGAAAAAAACCGCATCAAAATCCGTTGCGTAGTTTTAAAGATTTAAGCATACATAGGGATTTAGGGAAAGAGAAAGCGACTTTGTTTTATACTATGTACTGATGCTGTTATAAACTTGAATATATTATAACTATAAAAAAAAATTAATTAAATAAATGGCTGTAAATTGACTTACGCACTAACAAAAACCTACTGACCCGTTAATCCTCATATTTTTTAAGGGATCTCTTTGAAAATAGAAATTAAAAGACGTTCAACTACCCATTTTTCAATATTTCTTTATCAAAGTCGCATAAAAATAGTTTTTTAAAGTAGGTTCAAACGACTTTGGAATTTTACTTTGGAATTTTATAAAGGAAATAATGATTTCCTCAGGTTAGAATTTCCTTCGTTTAGAATTTCTTGTATTTGCTTCATGTTGGTCACACAATAGTTGCAGATACGAATATTGCCAAGTCATTTTAATGGTGGCTCATCCTTACCACAACGATTGATACGAAAAAAGTGTTACCTTTGGTCTGAACTACGTTCCGAGTCACAACACAGGCCTTATTAAGCAATGGACTTCATTTGGACACCACACTGACTATAGTCGATGCTGCCAAAATTATATGTAACCTACCTATTATCGAATATTAATGTTGATTAAGTGCTCACATCACGTATATTGATAGGCAATAGAAAGAATTAGTGAGCGCCATTGGTAGTAGCGAGGAATATAGACTTGTATAAAATATGTTAGGTACTATAATCACTTTGTTACAGTTTGTACTTTGCTATTTGTAGGATCGAACGAGTTGAATGCGGAAGAATCGTGAAATTTTCACAGGTTGACCCGTTAATTATCTTTGATATGTACTAAAAATTAATTAATATATTCCGTGTCATTTTTTGAGACCATGGTTATGAATATATAACCACTTATTATAACACAAAATAGTGAATTTAGAGAAAATTATTCATGAAAAGATACCTTTTTTGTGTCCTAACAATAATAAGAAATTTAAGATGGAATATAATTTTCAGTTTTTTGAAACTTTCTAATGTGTTTTTTTTTAGTTATTAAGCCGTGAAAATCTTTTATTTGCCATCTATAATTTAATTTAAAGTATATATGTAAGTATCGTGTGCTGTTAGTATTCCTGAATATATATAAATAAATAAAAAGACTCCTTATTTTGTAATCAATTAAATTTTTTGCAGTTTATTCTGCGCAATATGACGTTTTTTTATGGGATAGGGGGCAGACGAACATACGGATCACCTGATGGTAAGTGATTACCGCCGCCCATGGACACCTGCAACACCAGAGGGGCTACAAGCGCGCTGCCGGCCTTTGAGGGACGAATATGCTCTACACTTGAAAGTTTGAAGGTCGTATCGGTCCGGAAATACCGCTAGCGACAGACTGTTCCAGAGTTTGACAGTGCGAGGCAGGAAACTTCTAGAAAAACGCACAGTTGAGGACTTCCAACCATCCAAATGATGGGCGTGGATTTCTTGTCGCGTGGAACGATGGCGGAAGGTAGCGGCAGGTATGAGTCCGAACGATTCCTCGGAGCATTCCCCGTAATAGAAGCGATAAAAGATGCACAGTGAAGCCACATCTCTACGCAGGGCCAGTGGATCAAGCCGACTTGAAGTGTCCCGGCAATCGACGATTGGAGTTGCTATCCGCTGAATGCGGTCTAGAGGGAGAAGCTGGTATTGCGGTGCCCCTGCCCAAAGTTGAGAACAGTACTCCATATGGGGCCGAACTTGCGCCTTATAAAGCTGCAGGCGATGTGCTGGAGTAAAATACTGCCTCGATCTATTAAGCACACCAAGCTTCTTAGATGCTAATTTAGCCTTACCCTCTAAGTGACGACGGAACCGGACCTCGCTCGATGTGTCGACACCAAGAATCTCAATATTGGCTAAGGCAGTTAGGGGAATGTTTTGAAAGCGAGGTGATACGACAAATGGGTTTTTTTTTGGCGGTGAACGCGCAAACCCGTGTCTTAATAGGGTTGAAATGGACCAAATTAAGTCGACCCCAATTAGAGACTTCCTCTAACGAAGAATCAATAACAGACACAAGTAGATTCCGGCTCTCAATGACGCTTTCCTTAGAAATACCCGAAAGAAATACTCCTTTTGTTTTGTCTTTATTATCTAGCTATTGAAAAACCTCGCTACAAGTATTTAATCTTGTTCTCTGCAGTTTTACGTATGTGCAAATTTTTATGGTACGATTCCAACGAAAATAACACTATGCAACAATACAGACACAGAGAAAAAGCAGTTCATATAGAAAACATTAAATTGTAGTCGAAGTGAGCCAGCCTGCTGATGGAATACTAAACAGGTGCTACTAGAAAGATACAGAACAATACTTAAATTATGTAACTGTATACATGTGAAAGTACATGTAGCGCTTTTGGTAATGTTGTAGTAATAATGGTTTTTATAAATTTGAAATAGGCGTGAAGGAAAATTACCTTAGTTTTTGATGCAGTTTAAACACGTGTTGTTATTGCTACCTAGTTTTTATCTTGATATTAGGTTTTTAACTTGCCGTGTACCTAGTTAGGGTGGGTCAAATTTTGCAAGTTAAATTTGAACCAATAGGGTACTTTCGGTAGTGAAAAATAAGTCACGAAAATGTACAAAACTAAAATTTACATCGTAATGAATATAGAGATTCTAATTTTGAGTCTTAAAATCGCACGATGATCTTATTATCTTAAGATTAAAAGTCGTGATTTGTTTGTCTGTGTCACGTGACTTGAAACAGGACCCGCCATTTTGTATGGCTACAGCAGTCAGATTAGTCATAAAGATATGTCTATTAATTATAAATCGAATTCCTAGATGGCGCCGTTTTTAGCTCATTTATATATTTTTATTTCGAAATCGATCGTTAGATGACATAGTTCTTGTTTTATTGACCCCTTTTTATCTTCTACTCTACGAATCTGTTCTGTGCATAGAGTTCTTCCTCTTCTTCTTTTATTAATGGCTTATCTGCGCGTTTCGAACAATTCTGCCAATGTTAAGTGAATAAATTAATTTTTACATGTAATATGAAATTAACGAAAGATGGCTAAGGTTTTGAGAACATATCATAATGACGTTATGAATTTGGCGGACAACGTTTCGCGGGTATAAAAAGTTTTAATTTTGATTTAAAACGTGTTTATTTTTCCGAGATATTTATTCCACGGCTTTATTAAATTAAAATAAACAGTTAAAAGTATTATTTTAAACAGAGTAGAATAGGGGGTTTCCTGGTATCGATTGAGTTGGTTATGTAACTAGATGTTAATGCAATATTAATATTTATTAAATGACACTGATGTAAGTGGAACCGAAAGGTGGACATATAAACTCTGTATTTAAATGAAGCAAAGAGTTTGCGATTAATTGATTTCAAGGACTTTAGTAGGTACTAGATAATTCCAGGGTGTGATGATAAAAATGAAATCACCATGGGTATGGTATGGGTTTTATTTATAAATGAAAAATCCCGTAGTCTACATTCGTTTGATTTGACTATACATCATCCCCGGTGCAAGTTCCAAAAAACCTTGCTTTTCAAAAAATAAATAATCCATAGTCTAACTTCAAATCACGGAGTCCATGCATCCGAAATATCTGATATAAAATCCAGTCATAAATTTTTACATTTCTGTACTATAGTTCTGTGAAAATTTTCAAATGCAATTTTATTTAGGTATTTTTATAGGTTACGGATCCAATTCTGAGGAAAGTAGGTTTACCAAATTAAGTTCATAACGCTTGTTTGTATACTCATCTTTAGAACCGACCCAAAGTAGGTCAATTGGGCACTATCTAGCTATATAAAACGGTATAGTAGGAAAAGGATAATGAGTTTGAAGTGTAAGGAAAAGGGGTGTAAATGCTTTATGCAAAAAGTTAAAATTCCAGCAATACCTTTACGAGTTGTACAATGTTAGTCTACTTGTTGTAGATACAAGATATTATTTTTGTTCTCGAGGTGTAACATTTTCCTTGAGAAGAGTTTAGTTTTTGAAATAAGTGAACGTTTATGGGAATGATATTATAATTACAGCATTCAGGTTAGTTGACAACTTTTTTTTACTCATAAA